GACGAGGCGACACACGATGATAATTTACAAATGGAACATATAAAAGACCCAAATATCAAGATGGAGATAAAAGAATTAGTGGAAAATTATGAACCGCGATAGACCAAGACTACAGATATAAAAATGAAAATAATTCTAAGTAGTGAAGAACCGATACACCAAAACCCAAGAAGACTATCAATACCAGAAAAGCAAGAAGTAGGTAAGCAAATTGAGGAATGGATAGAGAAAAAAATAATTCGACCTAGTACATCCGATTTTGCAAGTCCAATTGTACTTGTCAAAAAGAAAGACGGACAGATCAGAGTTTGCGGTGATTACCGAAAACTTAACCGGAATATAATAAAAGATAGGTTTCCATTACCTTTAATAGAAGACGTATTGGATCGGTACAAGGTGCAGAATATTTTAGCACAATCGACCTAAAGAATGGATTCTTTCATGTACCAATAGAGGAAGATAGCGTTAAATACACTGGATTCGTCACCCCAGAGGGACAATACGAATTTTTAAGATGTCCTTTCGGATTGTGTAATAGTCCTGCAGTGTTTCAAAGATATATTAGCCACATATTTAGAGAGCTGACATCCAAGAACATAGCAATTTACTATATGGATGACATAATAGTTTTAAGTAAATCCGAAGAAGAAGGAGTTGTACGTTTAAAGCAAGTACTCGAAGTAGCTAGGGACTACGACTTAGAGATAAAGAAGAAAAAGTGCCAATTTTTACAGAAAAGAGTAACGTTTTTAGGATATATTATTGAGGACGGCACAATTCAACCATCAGATGAAAAAACTATGGCCATAAAGAAATTCCAGGAACCAAAGAACTTTAAGCAGATTCAGTCAGTTTTAGGCTTGACTGGATACTTTCAAAAATTTGTACCGTCATATGCTACGATAGCTAAAGCCTTAAGTGATCTACTCAGAAAAAATCAAACCTTTGAGTTTGGATCAAAAGAAAGGAGTGCATTTTTAAAACTTAAAGAGCTGTTAACTAGTCAGCCGGTTTTAGAAATTTATCACCCAGATAGAGTCACCGAGTTACACACAGACGCTAGCAGTCATGGATATGGAGCTTGTCTTTTACAGAGATCAAGAGAAGATAATAAGTTTCACCCAGTTTATTATATGAGCAAGAAAACAAGTCCAGCCGAGGAAAAGTATACAAGTTACGAATTAGAAGTTTTGGCTATAATAGAAGCAGTGAAAAAATTTCGTATATATCTACTCGGAATCAAATTTAAGATAGTAACGGATTGTTCCGCATTTACTAAGACTATGAATAAAAAAGACTTAACTACCAGAGCTGCGACGTGGGCTCTGTTACTGGAAGATTATCAATACGAACTGGAACACAGAAAGGGAACAAGGATGGCTCATGTAGACGCTCTCAGTCGATTCCCTATAGTCATGATAATAAATGAGACATCAGTAGTACAAGAACCAGGTTTTATAGAAAAAATAATGCGTGTTCAAGAAGCTGATAACCACATTCAAGCAATAAAGAAAATACTTGCTACGGAAGCTTACGAGGATTTTCTGATTAGAAACAATATTCTATTTAAATATGACGAAGGTAAGGAATTGTTAGTCATTCCGAAACGAATGCAAACAGAAGTAATTAAACTGTTACACGACGTAGAACATTTTGCTGTAACAAAAACACAGGAGTTAATTCAAAGAGAATGTTATATTCCTAACCTTAAAGAAAAAGTCGAGCATTGTGTAAGAAATTGTATTAAGTGTATACTTGGAAGTAGAAAAGAAGGTAAAAAAGAGGGTTGGTTACATCCGATATTAAAAATCGATGGACCTTTACAAACATTTCATGTTGATCATTTAGGACCTTTAGCTACAACCAAAAAGAACTATAATCACATTTTGGTGATCATCGACGATTTTTCTAAATTTGCATGGTTTTATCCTACAAAATCAGCGACGGTAAAAGAAGTCATGGAATGTATGAAGAGGCAACAGAAGGATTTCGGAAATCCCCTCCGAATAATATCCGATAGAGGTACCGCATTTACAGCGAACGAGTTCGAAGAGTATTGTCAAGGTGAAGAAATTAAGCATATTAAGATTACGACAGGTGTGCCAAGGGGCAAGTAGAACGTGTCAATAGAACGTTAATCCCAGTATTAACCAAATTGAGTATAGAGGAACCGACGAAGTGGTATAAGCATATTTATAAGTAACAACAATTTTTTAATTCCACTTATCAAAGAAGTATTGATGCTACGCTATTCGAAGTACTTTTTGGGACAAAGATGAAGAATAAAGAGGATCTAAGGATGAACGAAATAATATAGCAGGAAATGATCAAACAATATGATGAAGGTAGAGACATGTTAAGAAACGAGGGTAGACGTCAGTTAATCAAAGTTCAGGAGGACAATAAGCGCAGGTATAACTTACGAAGGAAGAAGCCGAGAATGTATAGAAAAGGAGACCTAGTGGCAATTAAGAGAACGCAGTTTGGTGGTGGACTCAAGCTGAGGAAGAAGTATCTTGGACCATATGTGGTAGTAGATGTTAAGTCCAATGATAGATATGATGTGAAAAGTCAGGATATCATGAAGGCCCCCTGAATACATCAACGTGTGTTGAATATATGAAGGCATGGGTAGAGAACCAGTCAGAATCCGAGTCGGATTCCTAGCAGGATGGCCGAATGTAGGAAATATTTCTTATATTAAGTATTTAGCACAGTTTTATTTGTTAGTTACGCCACTCCGAGATACCACTAAAACCATATTCTTAAGACGCCCCAGAGAGGTCGCCATCGCGGGGAAAGGGGACAGAAAAATATAGACAAAATCCCACATGCCTGCTCTAAAAGGGATTCGATATTTAGGACTCGAACTGTAAAGGTTAAATATTGTGCAACGCCCGCCGGCAGAAAAAGACGAAAACATTTAACGACGGAGTTATTCGATATTTTAATTTGCAAACCATTATCCGTAATCTAGTAATATTGTGTACCTGTAAATACCATCCGTACAGTTAATTGTTGTGTAATAAAGACGTATCGTTTGGATCGCGGACTTTTATTCTAACGTTAGTTCCCTTTGAAATAATTAAAGAATTTTTAAGTAAAACCTACATATATATATATATATATATATATATATATATATATATATATTATATACATATATATATATATATACATACAGTGGAACCTCGATTATCCGTCTCTCTATTAACCGTCACCTCTGTTAACCGTCAGGGTCCATACATAAGGTATATTGACAACATAAGTAAAAATTTACTCATCAATTCATTTTGTTTGCAAAAAATTCTCCACCAAAGACGATTCTCATTTTGGACAATGCACCTGCCCATCCTAAAGCCGGTATGCTGCGGAGTGACAATAAAAAATCACGTACTCTTTTCTGCCTGCGAATACAACATCATTGATACAGCCAATGGATCATTCGGTCATTAAAACATTCAAAGGAAGATACAGAAAAGAATTTATTCAAAACCTAGTTATGAAAGAGGAATATTCTTTGCCAAAATACTGGAAAGCATACAATTTAAAACACGCAGTCGACAATGCTGTGGATGCTTGGGCTGATGTTTCGGAAGTAACGTTGAACAGAGCGTGGAATAAATTATAGCCTGAATCAACTTAAGATGAAAATACTCCCCTTAAATGAAGATATGGCTGAATCAACTGTTTTGTTTTCGTTGCCTAAAGATGACATAAACGAATGGTTAATTTGTGATAAGGACGCAAACGGCTATCGATTGCTGACAGATGATGAAATCGTTGAAATGGCAACAGAGGCGGAGGAAACTGATTCAGAAGCTAACAGAGACTTTGATGGTGGCAATGTTGATGATGCTATTACAACTCACAAAGATTTGCGTAAAGCTAGAGAAGCTGAATCGCACATACAACAATTTATCAAGTGGTATTCTCGGCAAGAAGAAACAAATAAGGTAAATTTGATGATTTTACGTCGATTAAAAATTCAGCCGCTGCAAAATGTGAAGTAACAATAAAACAAACAAAGATTTCGGAATAATTTAAATCAGATTAGTTCGACTGTACTAACATAAATCCCTCTTATATTGTCAAATAAAACATACAAATAAAATTTGAGTTATACTATGAATTTTTTTTAATGTTCTGTTAACCGTCTTTTCGATTATCCGTCATACCCTTGGTCCGGTGCCCTGACGGATAATCGAGGTTCTACTGTATATATATACATATATATATATATATATATATATATATATATATATATATATATATATATATACAATGAATACTGGATATTCGTGACTGTCGAATTTAAACAAACAACAAAGTTTATTGGGGCTGCAGTCAGAAGTTTGGCCGGGATGTTACAGAAACATTATTATTGTATAAGTTATACTTTATATGTTTGTTATTAATGTTGAGTGTCATAGCTTCTTACAAATAATCTCAACGACTAGTAAGTACACTGACATCTTGTGATATATTGTAAATATTTACACATTTTTCTAATTACAGTGTCTTGATAAAGGAATTAAACAATTCCGAAAGCTAGACCAAAAGTCAAAAGAGTGTTTCTGTAACATCCCGGCCAAACTTCTGACTGCAGCCCCAATAAACTTTGTTGTTTGTTTATATATATATATATATATATATATATATATATATATATATATATATATATATATATATATATATACTTTCAATAAGTTAAGTTTAATGTATTATCATGTTCAAAATTTAATGGATTAACCTCATGTTGTTAAGTTTTTGTACTTGTTTTATACAATATTTTTTCATTTTAATTTCATTGTATTTAGTGATTAAATAATTATAACCATATTTTAGCATATCCTGAAGAAACAAATAAGTTTTGCGAAAGCTAGAGATAATAACAGGGAAATAAAGAGTTTTCCTTATTCTGCCCTATTATGACTGCAACCTCAAAATAAAACTTTAGTTTACATAACGTGTCAGGGAGAGATAAACGATTTACTTACAGTACCACTTGGAATACTGTCCGATTCTGCCATTCCATTTGTGAAATTTCCACCTGGTGAAAACGATTTTGATTCTAACGATGATTTACTTCTTCTATGACCAGGCACTGGTATAGGTTGAGTAGTGGCTGTCGGAGTGTCTGTAAGAGTAGTATTGAGGGCAGATTCTTCTTTCTTTTTCTTCATTGGCGAGTTTTTCTGCTTTGGATGCTACAATATAAAAGAGATTACTAATATCACAGAAGTAGACTTTTGATTTGTGTTCTATGAAAAACTAACAGAAAATACATCGAAAAGCATTGTAAAGTGGTTACGAAGTTTTAAAGCGTACCAAAAAATTTCTAAAAAGCGTTGTAAAAAGGTGATAAATATATTTAGAGCATAAATATGCCAAAAGCATTAAGAAGCACCGAAAAAGAGATGCAACAAAGCGACAAAAGGTATCCAAAAATCAAATCAAAAATCTCAAAGCGTCCAAGCGTGAGCTTTTTAACACGTTACAATTTTTAATGAATCTGCAAGGCTTCCTTTAAGGCAACGTTTACTTTTCAACTCTTTTCAATACCGCAACACCTTTTTGATGTATGTATAATGATTTTTTGATGGCTTTTAACACTTTTCGATATCTTAGCACTTTTATGTGCACGGTGTACATGACACAGTGTACATAAACAAATAGGAATGGGAAGAAACATATTTCCTGATGAAGCTGTTAAGCTATAATTTGTTAGAACAGTGAGCGACTTATCAATCACAGTCAATCGAACGCGGCATAACTCACAGTCAGTCGAACGTCGCGCACTTCGTCAAAATCAAAGAAATGGTTCTCTATGATAACGGTTTGTTAGGTTCTGCTGAGCTACGCGCACAGCAGACCGATAGCCGTGTACGTCGACGGTGTGCGCTGGAATCAACCTGCAATTTGATTTGGACGCAAACGTTCAGCTGAGCTGACAGCGTACACATCTATACCGAAATTATAATAAACAGCCGGAGTGTGACGTCACATCTGTCATATTGTTGTCATTACTTTCCGAACAAAAGTTGAAATGTCAAATCTCAAGATTTTTTAATTTCTATAAAGATTATTTATTGAATATTAGTTTTAATAATTTAAATTAATTTTTTTATAATTTAATATTAGTTTTCAGAGCGACAGAATGTTTATGCGAAATAATCTAACACCCAAAACTGCCGTGAGTCGAGTACAGCAGATTCTGCTGTGCGCTGCACACTGTTCTAACAAACTGTAGCTTTATACAGCGAAACATGTCTGTTTATGTTTTGTTTTATTATTGACCATGAATTTTCATTAAGTAACAAGGAAAATAGAATAAAGAGAAATAAAATGGTTATAAGCCTCACCTGCCTAACTAACTCGGCACTCAAGCCTAAATACTGGTGTAATGCTGTAAACGTTACTCTCTGCAACCTAACCATAATAACTTGTAATACTCTTACGAAAATATCTGGGTATTCTTGGAATATTTCTTGAAAAGCAGACATCGGTAGTTTTACTACCATGGAGTCTTCTATAGCTTTAGCAGATACCGTTTTATAAGGACTTGTATGTCCCTACAATATTACGTCAATTAGTAAATTTCAATTTTTTAACGAATTGTTGAACTTACTGTTAAAACGTCAGTAAAACTTAGTAATGATGTAACTGATTCTCCCGGCTTGACAATCTTTAAAGTGGTCAGTCCATCGTTACCAGTAATTGATACACTAAGTTTACCACTTTGTACAATATAAACATGTTCATCAGGATCACCTAGAAATATTAAGAATTAATATTCAACTCAATAATATTCAGTAAAACTCATGGACGTATAAATAAAGAAGGACCGGGCTATTTACATCTGTACATGAAGCCATGAGATCGTCACAATCATAGACACAATTGACATGTCATATTTTTTTTTTCCAAGCGAATCTTCGAAATAATTTTCGATTTTTAGTATAATTTAATTTTAATTTATAATAAAAATGTATTATTTAGTTAGTATAAACTATTTTTAGATATACTCATTTCGCAATCAAGGAATTAAAAGAAAAACATTAATTTTTTAATTAATTAAAAGAAAATATATTCTGATAATGTTAAAACTTTATGTAAAACTTGGCATTATTAGTAATATTAACCAACCGTAGTGATTTGACGAAAAGGAATATGGCGTTGTACTGTTTACCTTTGAGTTGATAATTTCCTTTTTTGTGACATTTTAGTGAATTTGTTAATATTTTCATTGTAGCGTTTACGCTACTGACTAGTCCAATTTAAACCCCTCAAGAAATTTTCTTATTACCCGCCTATTATCGATTTTAAATCGACATTTCCCCACTCACGCGCTGTTATCGCTTTGAAAGGAGGATCGATTTTATGCGGAAGCGGAACGATTAGTTTTTGGTCAGAACTCAACGCAGCCACGTCAGCCGGTGAAATTGTTCACCTTCAAAGTGACGGAATTGGAGCAGAAAAATAATTTGGGGAAGAATATAATTCATTAATAATAATATAAATAAGTAATTTGTATAATAAAATCAATATTCATTTATAAGAGTTCCACATAAAAGGAAGATTTTTTTTGGCGTGCTGCGAGCTCCATGTAAGTAAATCATTTTATACGTATTATCTCTTTATCATATAATCAAATTTATCATTGTATTTAGTATTTCTTTAGAGATTTATTTTTGAGTTCCGAAATAATTTAAATATAAAATTTCCTTGATTTACTTGCAAAGAACAGAAGGTCATTTTTTTTATATAGTTAAACTTAAATTCTGTTTTATTCCACGTTGTTATCATTAAGTTTTTTTGGTTCTTTTTTACCTAACTTTTTTGGTGGAATATAAAAGGTTCTACAAATGTGGACAGCCTTCTATATTCTGCGCATGTTCTTTTCATGGCGCAAGCTTGCCATGCCTACGAAAGTAACTTCATAAATTTGACATGATGTTGACTTAACCTAATACCTGATGTTTTGATGTTTTGTTTTGGTGCAGTCAATCCATGCTGCTACACCTATTGAATTGTATTTATTAAATTAAATAATAATTTTAGATTCCGTCACTTCACTTGAGGATATTCTCTTCAGAATATTCCCTCAAGGACTAGTAACTAAATTCCTTAAACTAGTTAGCAACTTGTGTATGTAACCCGTGGATTTTGCTGTCACCCAGAGACCAGTGACTGGTTGTGGTTTTGTGTCCAGGATTCGTCTTTACAGCCATAAACTGATGTAACCGTGCCAAGAGGAATTTTCCTATGGACTTATGGGGCTGTAAAGATAAGTTGTTTGACTGTTTAATTGTTTAACTTTTGTTACTTCCTATTTAGTAGTATACCCTCTTCATATGCATATGATAAGGTGATTACCTTTGTGATAATTTAATTTTTAATAAAATATAACTTTGATATTATTGGGAGAGGGAAAATATATTACCTGTTTTTATTAGTTTTTTTAACTAGGATTTAGAGAGTCTGACCAGAACTCATTTGCTTTGATATAATTTTTATACTAGCATACTTTTGAGATAATGTAATTGAGATTGGAGAGGGACATAAATTTAATGTGGTTTTTTTTTTAAATATGATATAATGAGTATGGAACAACTCACTTTTTGGATGTAATATATTTAATAGAATTGTAACAGATTTATCACTTTTGATATCTTTACAATATTGTCATTAGTATCTCATATTAGTAGAACTAATTTAAATTTAAATGACTACCTTTTTGTGTTAAGACTTTGGCTACAATACGGACTATTCTTGTTGTTTACTGACATTTTATACTTTATTTGGCCAGTGGTAGTGATTATTCGTTTGTTGAGGGGCTATTAGGTCCCACTGTATGTGTACACCATCCACTACCACTGTTATTTGGCTTTGCATTATATGTAAATTGTTTATACACATATACCTATATACATTTTTTATAAATATATTTATTGTTACTATTTTGAGTTTTATTTCAGTTCTACTAACCAGTATATAACATAGCAAAACAAGATTATTATTTAGTATTTTTGTATTTCAGAGTATTATCTCCAGATTCATTTGTTACTTCAAAATCTCAACTATCGTTGAGTTGGCGCCCTTCTTTTCTCTTCCTATTGTTCTCTTTCTATAAATTTATTCCCAGTGACCTTCTTCAGTTGTGTCACGTTTGATATTACCAGGTCTCATTTCTTTCTTGTCTCATTAGCTCATTATCTCTTGTTATTGTTGTTTATATCTTTAAAGCCACAATCCAGTGCATTGAAGCTAGCCCGAACACTCTCTTGAGATTTAGTGTCTCTTTGGCCATTTATATTTGTTCCTCTGAGCTTAGCCCTATTTTTAGTATTTTTTTTTTCATCACTTCTCTTTCAGTTCTTCTGAAATTTGGAAGTTCTACACTTCCAAAAACCCAATACTCCCGGAGTATTGAGCGTTTCAATTGGCGCCCAACGCGCCCATATCCAATACTCCCGGAGTATTGAGTGTTTCATCATCCAGAACTGTCATTTCGTTCGTAAGTAAACATTGGAATTACGTCCATGAGCGTAGTACAGGGATGTGATATTACTTAATTCTTGACATGAATTGAAATTAAATTTTGTGAAATAAAGTAAATCTTGTCGTATTATAAATACATTTATTTATTTTTTCTAATCTACACTATAATTGCTATAAATATATTAATTTCAAAGAAATATCATATGCAGGTTCCCAGTAAAGAATCAACAGCTGCTAGATATGTGGTTGTCTATGTTCGGCTTAAATAAAGAACAAGTAACCAAAACTGCTATGGTCTGTTCAGAACACTTTAGAAAGCATGATCTAATTATACAACCAAGTGGACGGGTTAATATGAGGAAAGGAACTGTTCCAATAAATATTTATCATAAATCATCAGAACTAAGGTAACTATAACGAATTCCTATGTAATTTACTATACAGAGTATAATACATTTTAATATAATGCACACGCATATCATATTAATTCAATGTTTCAGTTCTACAAACGATATGGAAAATAAAGAAACGACTTCCAGTAGTATTGATATGGATGATTTTTATGGGCCGTCAAAAAGGTGAGTTTGGATCGAATTTGTTAATTAAATTTACAAATAAATCTAAATGTGGATTTTAATTACTTATTTCATTTTAATATTAAAATTTCTCACAGTATTTTAGGAGATTCATTGATACTGAAAAATGTAATATGGAGACAGACTTGGGCATTAATGTAAAATCTAATTCTCCTAAAAAACGGAGGTGAGTTTTGGATAAATTTTGTATAAGATTATTTCAATCTTAAACCAATTTTAATATTTTTCTTTAATGTACATAAATTGATTATTCTAGATGTTTAAATGACAATGAAGAAAACAAGGAAAGTATAGATATAGAAAATGCACCTTCGAGCACCATTACAGCATCAGAAACTGAAACTGTAGAGTTGTTATATATATATAATAGCACTACGAGCCTAGTAGGCCCATGGCTTGAGCTGTTATTGTTTTCCATTTCTTTCTATTATTAGCCTTGTCCTTCCATCTTTCTATTCCCAGTGTTTCTAGGTCTTTCTCTACTTCTTGCTTCCATCTACTTCTCGGCCTTCCTCTTCTTTTTTTTGTACCCATTGTATGCATCAGAATCATTTTTGGTACTCGAGAATTTGTCATTCTTTCTATGTGCCCTAGCCACCTGAGTCTCTGAGCCTTTACTACTCCCACTATACTAGGATTCTTGTACATATCTTCTAATTCTTTATTTGTTCTTCTTTTCCATGTATTGTCTACTATCTTGCCTCCAAATATCTTTCTCAAAACCTTTCTTTCCCATATTTCGAGCATACCTGTTTCGCCTTTGTTCAGTGTCCACACTTCACTGGCGTAGGTTACCACTGGTTGTATAACTGTTTTGTAAATCCTTATTTTGGCATTCCTAGATATCTGTTTACTTTTTAATAGCCTGTTTAAGGAGTACACGCATCGGTTTCCTGCCATTATTCTTGATTGGAGCTCCTCTCTAATATTTGGTTTGCATGTGAACATCGACCCCAGGTATGTAAATCTTTCCACTGCTTCAAATATATATGCTTTTTCACCCTCTACTTCTATTTTTAGATTTCCTCCTCTTTGTTCACTGTCATCTATCCATTCCATGTATTTTGTCTTACTTTCGTTGATGGTTAAGCCTATTTTCTTTGCCTCTCTATCTAGCCTCTTTACTACTTCTTGTAGCTCCCATTTGCTTCGAGCCAGTATTACTACATCGTCTGCAAAGGCTAGACATTGGTGCTTTCTTTGGTATAACAATCCCTCTCTGTTGACATTTGCATCTCGTATGACCTTCTCCAAACACAAGCTGAATAGTATCGATGATAGGGGATCTCCTTGCCTTACTCCTTCACTGACTTCAAATTTTTCCGACATTATATTATTTATTTTAACTCTGCTCTCAGTCTTGGACAACGTTATTTGTATCATTCTTATAAGTTTTCTACTGATACCCAATTCTTCTAGTGTTT